GGAGGGGACAACACATCCAAACTCCATCAGGAGGGGAGGGGAGGAGGTGGGTGGCGCCATTTTGTACTTGGGCTTGTCTAAAGTGGTGCTGGTTATGTTGCAGATCTATTAGTGGGTCGAATTAAAGACCCACCATAGGGAGATGTGGGTAGGGAATGCCGAGGACTCTCCCAAGGATCTTCACTCTGAAAGGAGAACAGGACAGTGGGCAGTAAAGGGGTGGGGATCTTCAGAAATGCTGTTTTTAAAGTTGGCTGACACTTTAAGAGACCACAAGAGCATGCTTATGCCAAGGGGGAAGCCAGAGAGAAGGGGAGGGTAACATCACAGGGGACTGAGCAAGATTGTTGAGGAGGCAGGAGGACAAATGATATAGGTGAGGCCTGTAGGTACCTCATGAGCACCTGAACAAAGGAAACACCCTGGCAATATGGCGCCCTTCCTGGTTCTTCTCCGCAGTTAACAAGCCCGCTGGCGCCAACACCCAAGCCCAACCGTGCCAAACCTCAGCCAGTCACAGGTCAAGGCTCACCTCCTGCCCAGCCCCATCCAGTCAGTTACTGCCCCGTCCACTCTCTCTCCCGCCCCGGAGCACAGCACCCTATCAATGTACGCGCAGTCCTTGAATAAAGAGGAACTTCTCTGGTGAACTGTTAGCCCGAGTCTCGCGTGCTTCCTTCGTCCGTGCATCCCTTCAAGGCCCACTGCAATAGCCCCAACAGTGTTTTCTTATTTTAGTTTTTTCACCATCAATTGCTGAATACCCCTAGGACACGTTTTAGGATAGATTCATTAAATTGGATTGAGAACACTTCTTACGTATTTTTGTACTCCCTACCATACTGTGTTAGATGTGGCAGGTATCCTTACAGTTTTTTAATTCATTAAATCATTCCTCTGAAGACATGTTTTAGGATAGATTCATTAAATTGGGTTGAGAACACTTCTTACGTATTTTTGTACTCCCTACTATACTGTGTTAGATGTGGCAGGTATCCTTACAGTTTTTTAATTCATTAAATCATTCCTCTGATCAGTAGTCCACAGCATCCCACTTTGCTTATGGAATAAAAGTAGAAGATAATTCAAGCCTTTCAGAATCTAGCTAAAACCTAGCTGCCCTCTCCAGCCAGGCTGCTGTGTTGGCTTGCCTGCAAGCGTACCTTCCTCCTTCTGCTGCCTTCTGCCTGCTCACTCCCTATCACAGTACTGCCCCCCTTTACATATAGGGCTACTGAAAATAAAATGTCAATTTATCATGGCCTACGAGGTCCTTTGCATCTGGCTTCTGCCTATTTCTCCAATTGTGTACACAGCCTCTCTCCTGTTCTTTCAACAAGGAAGTACTTTGCTGCCTCTAGACATTTGCCCTTGCTTTGATTGCTGCCTGGAGTGCTCTCTCCTTAGCTCTTTGTGTGGCTGGCTCTTATCCTTCAAGTCTCAGCCTGAAAGTCACTTCATCTCATCCAATGAAAGTAGATCTATACAAAGTGGATCTCACACCCTGTTGTAAGCAATCACAATACACTTTTTATTTCCTTCGAAGCACTAAGAACAATCTGTACCTATTTTATTCCTTTGTTTGTTTATTGTCCTTCCTCTCTCCCCCAACAGAATGGAAGCTCCATGAAGGCTTGCACCCAGTTGTCTTGTCTCCTTCTTATCTCTGGTATCTAGTACAGTGCTTGACAAGTGCTTTAAAAATATGCTTCATGAATGAATGAATGAATGATCACCTCTTCCATTGTCTCAAAACCCAGCTTAATTCCCACTTTCATAGTGATACAGATATTAGCTTATATGTAGTGAGTGCTTACCTTACTCCACTGCTTATATACCTTATCTCACTTAATGAGCCTCCTCCATTTACCTTCTATAACTCATATAGTAGTTATTATCCAGGCCACACATTCTGAATTTAATCACAATTTAGCCTCTTGCTTTGTTATTTAATATATTACATGTATCACTTGTTTGCTCCAGTGCGGTAGTGCACACAGAGAGTTCAAGATATGCTGAGTAATTGAAGACATCCCCTCAGGGTTATACTATTAACATAATCAGAATGTTGATAAGCTGTGTTTACTCTGTCAATACTAAACACAGCCTGACATTAGTTAAAGCAGGGAAAACAGATTTCATTTAGTAACTACTGACAGTAGGGGAAAGAGCTGAGTTCTGTTTAGATTTGTAGAGAAGTAACTGGACCATTTGAAGAAAATGAGTTGGTGGGGGAGGAATGGCAGAGCGTTGGGGAAAGTCAAGGAAGTGAAAAACTACAAAAAGTGGGAAAAGGGGTGTTGGTCCATGTGAAACCCATCTAGGTTTGCTAATTGGTGCTTACTGAAGTTAGGCTCCTACCCTTGCACAGAGTCTGGGAGACAGGGGCCCTATCTTTAGGTGTTGGCTGGAAAAAACAGTAAATTCTTTTGGAAGCCTTGAGTCTTCTCAGGCAGGAATTTTAAGGGGGGCTGGGGTCATCCTAGGGAAGTGGCCTTGCGCTCTTAGAAACTATGTTGGTGTTTGTTCAAGTCTCCAAAGGCCAACTTTTCAAAGAGGGCTCAAAGGAGCCTGATTAGAGTTTGGTCAAAGAGAGAGTCTTTGTCAACTATAAACTTTGAACAAAAAAATCTAATCCAACTTGAAAGTGGACAAACTCCATTCTACCTGTAAAGATGTCAAAAACGGCTAAAGTAAGTTTGAGCTTTGAGGTACAAGATATGAAGTTCGATCCCCTCATTTTCTACTAGAATTTGCTAAAATCTTAATTTTCTAGAAAGGATTGGCCATTCTGTCAAAAATGCCTGCAAAACCAAGTTATTTCACATTGAGAAGCCATAAGAAAGGGTTTCTAGCATTGTTAACTGTTGGGTTTTGAAATATCTGCTTTGCAGAATCCCAAGCTGAAGAGCCCTGCAGTATTGCCAAAGATTTCAGGAGTCCCTTTGCACACATCCAGGCGATGGCTTGGGAAACCTGGAATTTATGGTGATGGATATCGAAGGGAAGAGGCTCCTCCTAAACTTTTCTAGACGCTTCTGCAGTCTGGAAATTCTGTTCCACGTTTCACCTCAGGTTTCAGTTACAACCTACGCCTTTAGGTTTGGGGCTCAGATAAAAAGGAGCACCCCCAGACTCCAGAGAGTCCTCCCTTCATTGTAAAAGATGACATAGGGCAGTCTGCTCTGCTTACACGATCTGGGTGTGGCCCTCCCCAAAGCTGGCAGTAAGATTGGAGTCCCTGAGGGCTCTTATCTGGAGCACTCTACTTCTGAGAGTCATGAATATAATTCCTGAAGTTGTCTCAGGCTGTGAGTACACCCAATGGTGATTTTCTTCTTAGGTTCCACCCTGGAGCAGATATGTACAGTCAGGAAAATGTCACCCAACCTGTCTCTCCCCATCTGACGGGTCAGCCAGAAGCACCTGTCCTACTGGGTGTGTTTCCCTGAGTAGAGCCTCCTTCCTATTAAAGAGGTGTCTTCTCTTAATTAAATCCTAAACTCTACAGACCAACTGTTCATTGCAGTAGAATCTGGGTGACGCTGTGCTTTACCAAGGACTTTGTTTTTTAGTTTCTTCGGTGGTCAGGGAGGTAATTAAATGCCGTGGTTCTGATGACACACAATTTTCCATTCCAGGTGCCTTAAGTTCCTTCTCTGATAAATAGTTTAGCAACGGCCTCTTTGGCCACCATCTGCCTCCCCCAGGAATGGTCTACGGGGTGACCTGTACTCCTCCTGCTGTTTTACAGAGTTCCTGTAAATTAGAAAGAACTCTTGCCATCTCCAGTAATGTCATGATGTAGCTTCTTATGAGAGTGGAACGTGGCTATCTTTTCTTGCTTTAAATTAGGACTGCTGGGGACAAAGCACCATCAAGGAGGCCATGATTTACCAGAATGACATCTTTTCAAAGTTCCTGGGTATCCAACATTCCAGATTGTAGACCGAGTAAGAGGAAAGGAGACAAAATGTATTGTCATGATCTCGCGGGGCTAGTTCTGGCAGAGTCAAGACCTCACCTTCACTCAAGGGCTCAAATTTAGATACCGACGGTTATCTCAAAGTGAGACTGTAGAGTCCCAATGCGTGTGGATCAGTAGATCATCTATAAACTGTAAATAAACACTTAAAATGTGCCCCAATGATTCTGCTTTTGGCCCTGCCTTCCCCCTCCCCCCCCCGTTTAATTTATCAGAAACCAAATAATAATAATAATAATAAGTCTGATCCCGTCCCATCCTCTTGGAGATCCTGCTTCAGGGTCCTGTCACCAGCGGGGGTCGGGGTGAAAGGATGACTTGGGGGGCGGGGTTTGAGCAGCAGAAATTTCAGGGACGGCTCCAAAGCCTCCGCGATTTGGGACCTACGTTCGGGAGGAGGCCGGGGGAGTCCTGACCGAAGAAAGAGCTAGAGTGAGGACCGGGCCGAGGGGACGCCGCACAGCCCCGCCGCCACCTGCACGAGGTCGTGGGGCGGAACCGTGGCGGGCGCAGAATGGGGCGGGCCCTCGTTGGATGGGCGGGGCCTGTGGCAGGACGGGGCGGGGCCTCGGCGGGACGAGGCGGGGCCGTGGCGAGGCGCCGGCTGCGGTAAGGAAATAGGCGCGGTGGGAGAGCAGGGTTGGACCCCGTTGTGGGTGGCGTTAGGCCACTCC